ACGCTGGTCCTTCGGATGTGAGAAGTTTTAACCAATGACTGAAAAGTGGCCCACGGCACCTTCCAGTGGGGCAGTAACTTAAAGACCCGAGAAACAACAGACAGAGGAAAAGCCATTGTCATGGCGCGTGACTGCCCCGGTTTCAGATGGGGCCAGTGAGACGCGTCCCTCGTCACCCCACCCTCTGCCGTCTTAGCTGAGGCAGCAGAGACGTGTTAGCATCTGTTTGGGCTTTCCGACTGCAGAGCGTGGCTTCTGCCCAGGCCCCTCATGTCTGATGCGTGGAGATTTGGCAAAAGCTCTCACTGGTGAGTCCCAGGAAGGAGGTAATGGACACCAGACCCTTCTCCAAGCCTCCAAGCAGCGGTTTTAAACACAGGTCTGCTCAGGTTCCTAGCTGAGCGCTGCATCTGGTTGACTCCCACCACACCGGCGGGTGTCTGGACCCCGTCTGGTGCCGCCTCGCTTTGTTGGGTAACACGATCCCATTCTGGACACCAGCATGCGTGGTGGTAGAGACAAAACAGAGGATAAGCAGGTCTTCGACGGGCTGTGCTTTGTGACCGTTCACTCGTCAGCACGTCCTCCAATAAAGCCTATACTCTTGTGCTTAACTACTGTAGCTAAAGGCAGAGCTCACCCGTATGGGAATGGTCTCACAGGAAAGGTAGGTGTGAGGATAAGAAGCCTAAAAACCAAGTAAATCATCACAAGTGTGCAGCATATTGGGAGGGAGAAATCCAGGGTGGGGTGAGTAATGGGGGCATCAGGGAGGTGCTCTGAGCTAGTGATTGCTGACTTGAGGCCTAAAGGAAAAGGAGGACTCAGCTCCTGAATGGAGTGGGAGAGAGGTTTTGAGGCCCAGGAGGTGCCAAGGCCCTGAGGCAGACAGCACTTGGTGATTTCAGGAAGTGAAGAAGCCCAGCGGGGCTGAAGCACACAGGGTGTGGAGTACATGGGGGTGGTGGGTGGGAGCCAGACTACCATGTATCAGGAAGGGCTTGTGTTTTCGTGTCACAGAGGGCTGAATGAGCATCCCTCCAGACTATCATTGGGAACCCAGGTTCCATCCAGCTCATCACTTCACCATCCTTACGTGGCTCTTGTCCTTATCCTCACAAGATGGCTGTTGAAGCTCCAGTCATCTTCTCTACATTCCAGGCAGGAATAAGGAGAAGGGCAAAGGGAAGAGGGACAAGCAGTCAAATGTGAGCTGCACGAGAATCTTCCCTTATTAGCCAGCCTATAGCACGTGGTAACCCTTAACACATCCAGGGAATGAGGTGTTTCAGCTGGCTACATCGCTGCTTGCTACAGGTCCAATGTTCTGTTAGCAAAGAAGAGGAGGGAGTAGATATTGTATAGGCATGTCCAGAGTCTGCCCCACAGGGCCTTGTAGGTCATGGTAAGGAGCGTGGTCTGCATCCTGATACAGCTGGGGAGCCATAGATTGTTCTAAGCAGGGCGATAACATGGAAGGGGGAGACGACTCAGGGTTGCCCTACTTGAGCCACAGCAACACATATCTTTCGGCCTACATAACAGTTTTCTAGAACTGCTCTAACGCATTACCACAAACGTTGTGGTTTAAAGCAACAGACATCTATTCTCTCCCGGTTTGGGATGCTGGGAGTCTGAAATCATAGTGTCAGAGAGGCCATGCTCCCTCTGAAGACTCGAGGGGAGAATCCTGCCTTACCTATTCCTAGCCTGGTGGCTCCTGGCTCTCCTTCGTGTTCCTTGGCTCATCAGCTACATCACTCCAATCTCTGCCTCTGTCGTCACATGGCCTTCTTCCCCGTTTCCCTGTGTGTCTATATCCAAATCTCTCTCTCTCTCTCTTTTACAAGGACACCCACCATTGGTTTTAGAGCCCACCCTAATCCAGCCTGACCTCCTCATTTTTTTAAAAGTTTATTTATTTATTTTGAGAGAGAAAGAGAGCACGAGCAGGGGAGGGGCAGAGAGAGAGAGGAAGAGAGAGAATCCCAAGCAGGCTCTGCACTGTCAGCGTGGAGCCCGGTGTGGGGCTCGAACCCACGAACCACGACCTGAGCCAAAACCAAGAGTCGGACATTCAACCAAGTGAGCCACTCTGGCACGCCCCAGTCTGATCTCATCTTAACTTGATTATGTTTGCAACGATTCTACTTCCAAATAAGGTCTTATTCATAGGTACTAGGGGTTGGGACTTGAATATACCTTTTTTGTAGGACGCAATCCTGGAGGGCATGCAAAGGGACTAATGTGCCATCTAGACGCTGCTTTGCTCTCTTGGGCTGCTCGTTTCCCCCTCACCCGTAAAGACAGCCCAGAAATTAGGGAGGTGGGTTTACTTCCAAAATTTTGACCCAGTGCCAGGTGCGAGGCAAAAGGAAGGGGTCTGGGCTCCTGGCACGGGGCTGCCCTCACCTTGGCAAATACGTCTTCAGCTCTGAGGATGTGAGGGTCTTCAGTCGCGGGGGCAGGGGCAGCCTCACCCATCCCTGCGTGTCAGTGGCTCATAGCTTGGGGTGGGGGGAGGCATGGAGGGAGCAGACGTTTAAATAATGGGCTGAATGGTATCTAAACTTGAGTGCCTTTCTTCCAGCAGGCAAAATTTTAGGCTCACTGATGCCCTTTAATAAACCACTCTTTTGTCTGGAGTAAGTGGGGGGAAATGCAGGCTGGAGCCATGGCTGTGGCAGGTGGTCATAGCTGACCCTAAACTGGCTTCAGAGTTGGGGTCCTTCAGACTGCCCAGTGTAGTGCTATTCAGGTCCCCCTCCCTTTTTGCTTTGAGGTGGAGTAAAAACTACTCACACGTGAGTCCCAGGAAACAGGCTGGGGGCCATCACACTCGTCTTCTGGGCACATCTCTTTGCATAAGTTGGTGTGCATAGAGCTTTGTTTCTCGGCGGGTGATTTTTTTTTTTCTGTTTTTTAATTTTTTGGGGGTCAAGATGGGAATCCTCCTCAGAGGTGGAGGAGAGCTGAAGGTGCAGGGGGCAAAGACTTGTGGCATCTGATCCCCTGGGGAGTGGGTGGAAGAAGCAGACCCTGAAGGAACTGTTTTCCCAAGGGAGGCTGTGAGTTCTGGGCATCAGCACAGTGGCTTCGTGCCCATGGGCGGAGCTAGGAAGCAGCGCTTCCTCCTCTGGGTCCCCAGGGTGGATAACCGGCGGCAATGGGAGGTGGCATCATTGGCACGAGCACTGGCCCTTACCCCAGGGGTGGTGGCATCAGGGTGGGCCCCTCAGGTGGTCTTATGAGTAAAACCAGAAATCCAACAAAGGTGGGTCCATGTGACCCAAATAGCACACATGAGTCACCTCTTGAGAACTCCCGTGGATGGCGGGGGCTATTTGCAAAGGATGGATGTCCTCACTGGGCAAGCAGCGGGGAGAAGATCGATGAGAAGGTGATGGTTTAAGCTGAGCATTGAAGAAGTGGGGATCTGCTGGGGGGAGAAGGCAAGGAAGGTCGTTCCAGGCAGGAGGATCAGCATGTGCAAAGGCATGGGTGACCACTGGTGGCCTGAGACTGTCAGGGGAGTCTGAGCTGGTGAGTGGGTGCACAAGGCTGCATGGGGCATGAGAAAAGGCAAGAGCAGTGAAGCTAGAGACGGTGGAGCTGGCTCCTGATGAGACCTCGCATGTCAGGGTAGGGTTTGGGTTTTGTCTGGAGGACGGTGGGAGCCCCAGATGGCTTGTGAGCAGAGCGATGTGGCCTCGCACGTGTTTTATGTGTGTTTGACAGCCGCGCTGAGGGTGGGTGGAGGGGTGGGCAGTCTGGAAGCCGGAGGGAAGGAACCAGGCAGTGGCGGTGGAGATCGCCCCCTCCCCGCCACACCATGTTTCTTCTGCTCATCTTCCCCCCACCCCCCACCGTGCCCTGACCCCAGGTCCCCAGAGCATGTCACTTGTCAGAAGAGCAGAGTCTGCCTCTTGGCGGGTGGAGAGAACAGGCATCCCTCGTCCCTGCTCATGCTGGTCCCGGGGCAAGAGCTGGCTGGGCAGCTGGCGGCTTGGCAGGGACAACATGGTCTGCTCTGATGTGTCTGCAGCCACTGCCACCGGACAGCCTGATTAATGACCCGCCGCGTCCAGGTCTCCTCACGGGTCAGCAGCCCCGTCTCGGCAGCGGCAGCCAAGCGAACCAGCCTGCTCTGCCTCCTTCCCCCCGTGGCTGGCGCTCCCAGATGGGCTGAGATGCTGTGACATCGCCTCCTCCCCTGGCCCTGCCACCCTTTCTGCTAACTATTCCCTGTCCTCTTAAAAGTCCTGGCCCTAAATTCTCCCGTGCAGAAGAGGCTTTACGGAATGAACTCCCAGCCTGCCGCGTTCTGGCTTGTTCTCTATCCTCCCCGCATCGGGCGCGTAGCAGAAGTTAAAAATATGTCTCGAAGGAACCATTGCTGCTTCTCTACCCTTTCCCTCTGCGGGAAGGTCTGTGTCTGTGTGTTCCATTCGCATAAGTCCCACCTCCTCCATCAGACTAGCGATTTCCCAAGATCAAGGGTCGGCCTCCATCTTTGGGCTGGTGGCTTCTAAGATTCATTTTTTTTTTCTTTTTCCTTAAGCAGGGTAACCGCAGGGCAAGGACTGGGTCTCCCCTTCAGTCCGGGGGCTCCCCAAAGACAAGAGCTCTGTTTGGGGCTGCCTTGTCCGTCTCTCCCTCATGTCCCAAGCTGAGCTCTGCCTTGGGCGTGCTCTGTGGGTTCTCAGGGGCCACAGGGAAAGCCTCCTGGCCTGTCTGGGAACGGCAGGGCTAAGCGTGGGTACAGCGGGTGTGGATTTGGCTGGGGCCAGAGCCGTTGGGGCATGGCGAGGGGCTTGGTACTGAGCTGTCGTCTGGGGCCAAGGGGAGCCCAGGACATCCAGGCCTACACGAGCCTTCGAGGCTATAGGCCCAGTGTCAGGGAGGGCTGTGACTTCGCATGTGTGGGGGGGAGGAGCAGAGGATGGCTCCTGGCCACCTGCTCCTCATACCTCCTGTGGGCTCTGTCTTGGTGGTGGCAGGAAGACAACCACAGCTACTATGTGTCCCGTCTGTACGGCCCCAGCGAGCCCCGCAGCCGGGAGCTGTGGGTAGACGTGGCCAAGGCCAACCAGAGCCAAGTGAAGGTCCACAGAATCCTCTCCAACACTCACCGGCAGGCTTCGGTGAGTATGCCAGACCCTGGCAGCACTGCCCTGGGCTGGGAGGCTGGGGGCCAACCCTCCATGCCCGCTCAGTGGGCATGGTTGTGACCTGAGGTCTGTGATCTGGGAGATGCGTTCCGGGGAACCCTGGGAGGGGGGGCGGTGGCCAGAGTTAAGGTGGCCACCTGTGGTCCTGGGGGCTTGCCCTGGACGTGCCTGCCCCCTACGTTGTCCAGACAAGCATGGGGCAGTGTGGGCACCCAGCCTCCTGGCCTACAGCATGGCCCATGCTGACTCTCTCCCGTGCCCTGCAGAGAGTGGTCTTGTCCTTTGATTTTCCTTTCTACGGGCATCCTCTGCGGCAGATCACCATAGCAACCGGAGGTAAGGCTGTGTTGGTGGGACTGGGGGAGATTTGGAGTCTCAGCCAGAACGTGAGGGACCTACCTGGGGAGGTTTATTGGAGACAGGGGTGTATAGAGAGACTGGGGAGGGTACCGCGTTGGGCTCTCTCGGGACCTCACTCTCAGGAGAGAGAACAGTGTGTGTGTGTTGGACCACCTTCCTGATGTTGGCTGACTTGCCCGTGTGTGTGTGTGTGTGTGTGTGTGTGTGTGTCCCTCTGGGTCAGCTCAGGCTAGCGTGGGTAATGCCTGTGGTCCCTGAGCTTCTGAGTCTGTGAATGAGAGAGAGGAGGAGACTTCACGAGAACGTGATTCTTGGGATCAGGCTCCTTGTCGAGATGAGGGGCCCATCTTTGATTCCTGTGCCCTTTCCCAGGGACAGGGAGAGGTGGGAGTTCTGTGCCCACCTGGAGGGGCAGGGAGAACCTTCTCTGGTCTGGGGCCCTTTTGCTCCACACACCAGACCAAGAGCCCAGCAGGTGGGGGTTGGGGACAGAAGTCCAAGATTCTCTTCCAGCCCCACCTGCACTATCCCTTCCTGCATAAGGAAGCAACCTCTCTAGGCCTTCTCTAGTGACTTCTATGCATTTGTCCGCACCCCAGGCTTCATCTTCATGGGTGACACGATCCACCGGATGCTCACGGCTACTCAGTATGTGGCGCCTCTGATGGCCAACTTCAACCCTGGCTACTCTGACAACTCAACAGTCGCTTACTTTGACAATGGTGAGAACAGATCTCAGAGTTTAAGTCACCTGGCTCCAGGGCACAGCCCCTTTAGCAGAGCCCAAAGTCTAGAGAGGACAAGGGACTTACCCACGGTCACACAGCAAGGCCACCACCCCACCTTCCCGTGTTCAATTTCCTCATCTAGAAGATGGCAACAAGATGCCTGCTACCTAGCAGGGTCTGACGAGATAACAAAAGAAAAGTGCTTGGCTCTTAGCAGAGGTGACAAATATCAGAGACCTTCGTTGTTTCTTACTCTCACCAGATTGTCCCTTGAGCACCCAATCACCCTCAGACCTATGTGGGCCGCCGATTCCGCGGGGCCCTCCTCCCTGCACTACCTTCCTGTCCAGCCGGGTCTCTGCTCCCCTCCCTAGGGACGGTCTTTATTGTTCAGTGGGACCACGTCTACCTCCAAGGCCGGGAAGACAGAGGCAGCTTCACTTTCCAGGCAGCTCTGCACCAAGACGGCCGCATTGTATTTGGCTACAAAGAGGTGAGTGAGCTTAGCTGCAGAGGTGGCCGGGTCTTGGAGTTTTTCATTCAGCAAATATCTGTAAAGAACCTGCAACGTGCCAGGCATAGGCCTCGGTGCTGGGCAGACAGCAGTTAATGAGATGGCCATAGGCCCTGCCCATGTAGAGCTAGAAGTCTGGTTGGGGAGATGGACAGTAATTACAGGGACAAATGTAGAATCACCACTGTGACAGGTGTTCCTAAGTCGAGGTGCCTGGTGCGAAGGGAGCCTTTCATGACGCTCTTCCTTCCTTTCTTTCTTCCTCCCTCCTTCCCTCCCTCCCTCCCTTCCTTCCTTCCTTCCTTTTTTTCCTTTCTTGTTTTCTTTCTTTCTTTCTTTCTTTCTTTCTTTCTTTCTTTCTTTCTCTTTCTTTCTTTCTTTCTTTCTTTCTTTCTTTCTTTCTTTCTTTTCCTTCCTTCCTTCCTTCCTTCCTTCCTTCCTTCCTTCCTTCCTTCCTTCTTTCTTTCTCTCTTTCATGAGGCTTTTTACCTGAGCAGAGGTCAGGGGAGGCTTCCCTGAGGAAAAGAGTTGAAATCTGCAGGATGTGTAGGAGTTAAGGAATCAAAGAAGAGAGAGAAAAGCACACTCAAAGGTCCTATGGCAGGACAGAGCATGGCTGGTACAAAGCATAAGAAGAAGACAGCAAGACTGGAGGGGAGAGTGGGGAGCAAGACAGGGCAGGAGGACACCCAGATGTGCCTTTGAGAAAGGTCACTCTGGCTTCAGAATGGAGAACAGGTTGTTGGTGGCTCAGAGGAAAGGTTGGGAGATGGTTTTGGAGAGAGAGGTGTTGCCGGCTTGGAGTAGGGTAGGGTAAGATGGAGAGAACTGGACAGATTTAAGAGCCAGTTAGCAGGCTAATTAATAGGAGTCAGAGATGTGTGAGGTGGAGGAGGGCGGAGATGAAAGAAAGGGTGACTCCCAGGTTTCCAGCCTGCGTGGAGGTATGGCAAAGAAAAAGGAAATGTGCTGGAGATGGTTGGAGTAGACTTGCAATTTGAATGGGGGCCCACTGGATTTGAGGTGCCCTCGAGTCCTCCAAGAGGTGGCACGGAGCAGGCAGAGGGGTGTGGAGGTCAGAGGGGACGTCCAGGCTGGTCCAAGGGTGTTTTGAGGGGGTAGATGGAGCCTCTTCTCCCCGGCTGCAGATCCCTATGTCTGTCCTGGAAATCAGCTCCTCCCAGCACCCCGTCAAAACAGGCCTGTCAGATGCCTTCATGATTCTCAACCCGTCCCCGGATGTACCAGGTGAGTCCCCAGGGGTTCCGTGGAGCGCTCAGCGGGCTTGGACTGAGCTCCGACTGACCCAGACTGGGTTGGGGGCGGGGGGACTGGCAGTGGTGGAGGTGGCTGGATGGCTGATTGCTGAGGGGCGCTGAAGGAGGATGAAACACATAATGAGTTCTCATTTTCCTTCATTAAAGCAGAGGAACCATTTTTTCCCAATGAAATCTCCAGTGGGAGGCGACGCTCTGGGTTTGGAGGGGAAGGGGAGCCACTCAGCACCACATCCACTTAGAAATTCTCCACAGGCACCAGATTAGAGTTTTTGAGTCCTTCCAGAACACAACCATGATTACATCCCTACCCCACGTGGTAGGAGCATCACCGGGGGTTCAGGGGATGGAGGCCAGTCCCAGCCACATTATTAACTGTCTGTACTTCAGGAAATCACATCTCTCTAGCCTCAGTTGCCTCATCTGTAAGATGGGGGTGTAGCTGGAGCAGTGCTTTTTCCTTCCTGGTCCTCCTCCAGTTCTGATATTTTTTGGCATCACAGCACTTTTTCTTCTTCTGATCCCCTGCTCACCCCCATGGGGGTCTTGAATTCACACTTCTGGGGGAGGCACTGTAGGCACACTATCCATTGCTTCTGAACCCTTGGCTCAGAGTCTTTTGAACCTGACCTCTTCTGCTATGCTGTGTATACAAAAGTCCCTCTGTCTAACCTATAGGACCCCCAAGCAGGAGACCCTTGTCTGCTCTTCTCTGTCCCTACCGGTGCTTGATGGGACCAAGGAACATTCTGAACTCCACCCTAGCCACACCAGGCTGGTTGAGAGGATGTGCTTGGGAGCCACCAAAGTGCTATCCTGTAGACGGGCACGGCACTACCTTTCTGGACACTCCAGGGCTTCCTGGGGAAGCATACATAACTTGCATCTGTTAGTTGAGTTCCATCAATACACATGCTCTGAGTTCCTGCTATGCACGAGGCCACTATGTTCTGGGTGCTACTGAGATACGATGAAGAGGAAGATATGGAGGGATTCATCATCTGAGCAGAGCCTCTGTCCTTAACAGAAATCTGAGGGAAGGGACCGAGGGCTCATGTTAGAAGTCTTTATCCAGGAGCCGCCACATGCAAGGTTGAGTATAGTGTTAGGGGCTTGGCTCTGGAGTTGGAAGCGGGGATTCGAGTCCAAACTCTCCGTAAGCATCTGACCCCTGGCAAGTCACTTAACCTCTTAGAGCTGATTTCTCTGTTGGCAATTGGGGATATAAGTGGTTCATGCTCCCTGCAGCGAGTGACTTGTGAAGATGAACACGGTGACGTCCAACAAGTGTTTGGCCTGATGTCTGGCACGTCGAGTTTGTGAGTCCTATATTAGAATATCTTTCTCTGCCAGCCTTTATCACGCGACTCAGTATTTTATAGTCCAGCAGGGCGTCTGGTACAGTAGCAAACAGTGCAGAAAGAGGAGCACGTGATGTCCTGATGCTGGTGTGTCATAGGTCAGATGCCAGGACCACAGCACTTCCATGTGACTTCTGCAACGAGTAGCAAAAAGTCACATGCTAGAGCGGCTGTTTGCACTTGATGCACCACACCTTGGAGGTTTGTGCCGTCAACATGAATTACCATCCTGTTCTTTATGAATGCTCTCCCTTATCGGAATCTATAAAATGATATTTTTTTCATGAATAAATGTATCCGGTCTAAAACTCAAAAGATACAAAAGGCGGTATAGAAAAAATCAGGTTTCTCTCCCATCCCCGACCCCTCTCCCCTAATTTCCCTTCCTGGAGGCCACCAGGGCTACCCAATTATTTCTAGAGCTATAAGCCTACAGGGAAGTATACGTTTGGATATTTAACACAGAGAACGGCATGTGATGTCACTGTTCTGCACTTGAACAAAGTGTATCCTGCCCATCCTTCCGTATCAGCCCACACCTCGTTCTTTTTAATGGCTACTTGATAGCCTGTTGCATAGATGTACCTTAATTTAGCCAATCCCCTGGACATAGGCTTTACCGTTCCCAATATTTTGCTACGACAAATAACGCTGCAGTGAATATTCTTGCAAACAGCTATTTTTATGCCCCTTTGTGAGTATTTCCATAAAATAAGTTCTACCTACTCCACCTACCCATCCTGACCTTCCCTGAACACCCAGGACACTAGCAAGCAGCTCACCAAGCCTCTGCTCCAGGCAGCATCTGTTCTAGCTGGTTGGGTAGCACATGTATTGAGCTGGTTGCTAAATAGTTTCAGTGTCACTCTGATTGTATTAGTTAGCTATTGCTGCGTAACAAATTATCCTGAAATTTAGCAGCTTAAACACACACACACACACACACATACACACACACACACACACACGTTATCCCAGAGTTTCTGTGGATCAGGAAGCAAGGCACAGCTTAGCTGCGTCCTCTGGTTCAAGGCCTTGCACAGGCTGCTCTCAAGGTGCTTGCCAGGTTACAGCCCTCTCAACAACTGTTTGGGGTGGGGGTCTGCTTCCAAGAGCTCTCACGTGATTGTTAGCAGGGTTCACTTCCTTGAGGAGGCCCCCCCCTTGGCTCCTGACACGTGGACCTCCTCATAGGACAGCTCATAACATGCTAGCTGGCTTCCACCAAAGCAGGCAAGCAGGAGAGCAGTAGAGGGTGAGCAAGACAGAGGCCGGTCTTCTTGTAACCTAATCTTAGAAGTGCCATCCCATCACTTTTGCCATATTCTGCTGGTTACAAGCAAGTCGCTAGGTCCAACACACTCAGGACAGGATTCCACAGGGTGTCAACACCAGGAGGCAGGGCCACTGGGGGCCATGTTAGAGGCTGCCTGATCACCACACGGATAATCCCATCCCCAGGCTCTGAGATTTACAATATCTTTTTTTTAATATAAATTTTTAATGTTTTATTTATTTTTGAGAGAGATAGAGAATGAGAGGGGGGCAGGGGAGAGAGAGAGGAAGACCGAATCCAGGCTCTGAGCCCACACAGAGCCCGACACGGGGCTCAAACCCACAAACCGTGAGATCGTGACCTGAGCCAGAGTTAGACGCTCAACCGACTGAGCCACCCAGGCGCCCCTGACCTTTACAGCATCTTCTGTAGTCATCCTCCCAACACTGTAAGTGGGGTCTGTACTTTCTAAATGAGGACAGAGGCTCAGAGACGCGAAATGACTTGCTTGTGGTCACATGGCTACGAGAGAGACCTGAAACCCAGATCTTCTGTTTTTCTTCAACCCCGGAGTCGACCATTGAGACTTGCTAAATCTAATCCACCCCCATTCCAACCAGAGGGGTAAATCCTTTCCTCCTCAGTTCCCCAAAACACCCACACCTCCCAGGCTGTTTTGCAGGAAAGGCAGTTCTTAGTGTCCACGTCCCCCTGCCCGTACGCATTGCTGAACCCCGTCTGCCTCCTCGGTGGCTCCCTCACAGGGCTTTGTGGGCTGGCGGAGTCTCAGGAAATGTGTGTTGGATCCAGCTGTTGTATGAGGGTGAATTAGAGGAAGTCGGATCCCCCAGGGAGTGTCTGCATCTGAGGTTTCTCTGTGATTCTGGAATGAAAGGCTGTTTTAGAGCAAGCCAGGGAGATACGGGGAGGCGGGAGGAAGGGCAGGGGATAGCCCACCTGACACAACAGGAGGCAGGGCTGTGTTGTGGGAGCTGCTGGATTAGGGGCTCCAGGTGCTGTTTGCTGAGGTGTGAGGTCCACCCGCCAGGGAGAGCCGGCACCTGCCCCCCCCAGACACTGCCCCGCAGCTCCCAGCCTCTCATCCCCTTCCTTCTGTCCCCCATTCCTTCTCGTCACTGCCAGATCTGATCATGTCATTCTCTGGCTCCTTGTTGCTTGCACCATGAAGTGAAAATCCTCAGTGCGGCGTTCAAGGCCCCGTGCAGCTGGCACGGCCCACCTTCATAGACTCCTCTCTAGACCCTCCCATCACCTGCCATTCTCTGTCAGGCCATCACCGGTCTGCATGCTCTGTTCCCTAAGCATGCCAAGGGCTGTCCACATCTCTAGGACCCAGTTCCTTGCCTAACATGGCCCCCATTTCAACTCTTTTGCCACTTGGCAAAACTCTCCCCATCCACTGCTGCAGCTCAGATGTTGCCTCCTCCGTGCGGCAGAACTCACGGTTTCCTCAAGCACCTTCTCCCCAGCGCTCAGCCCCGTGCCTGCCGCAGGGCAGACACTCAAAAATGAAAAATCGCACAAGAATGAGTGTCACCGAAGGGACCTTGTCCTCTGCTCTCTGGTGCCCCCCAGTGAGAACAGGGGCCTGATGTCACTTGCGGTGAGGAGTGAGTACTTGGGTAATGAGTTGCATCTCTAGCCTGGGCTCCAGGCATAGACGTGAAGAGGAAGATTGAGGTGTGGGTGGGGCATATTCATATGCATGCATTTTCCTGGGACAGCATCCATGGCCGTCACGGGGCTTCTAAATGGGCCACCACCTCTGCTTTGGGGAGTGATGGATTTGATGTGGCTGAGAGGTCAGATTCCTCTGGGTCTGCTATTCGACCCACAAGTAGAGAATTCGTTTGGCTTACGTTGAGCTGCCAAATAACAGTAAGTCCCAAATAACCATGGCTTAAATGAGACGCAAAGCCAAGGACAGCTCTCTGGTCTGTAGTTAGGGTTATCCCATTATCACCACAGATACTCCCATTGTCCAAGCCCCCCTCGGACACCGCCACCAGAATGGAGGGTGTCCCTGTCTTTGAACCCTAGCTCCTCCCTACCTGGAGTGCCAGGAAAGGTGGAGTTTGGTTTCCCCACTATTCCAGAACCACCCAGCCCCTGAACCTGGCCTGGGGGACCGTCTCCTTCCCCAGGCTCCAAGTACCTTCCTGCCACCTTTACCTGAGGGTGGAGGGAATTCAGAGCAGTCTCACTCCTGGCATTGAGGGGAGGAGGTGCTGCAAGCGGCCAGAGTTCTTCTTGCCATTTACATATAGAAACTGCTACATCGATTTTGCAGCAGAGAATCTGCAGAGCGTGCCT